GATGGATGATCCTCCGCCAGCGTCTGCCCTTTGATCCACACCACCTCCTCCAGCAGCTGCACCGCATCCTTCACCTGTCCATTCGCCTCATATGCCCCGGCCAACGCGTGCTGCGATGCAAGTCGATCGGGATGATCCTCCGCCAACGTCTGGCCCCGAATGCGCACCACCTCCTCCAGCAGCCACACCGCATCCTTGACCTGCCCATTCGCCTGATATGCCCCGGCCAACGCGTGCTGCGATGCCAGTCGAGATGGATGATCCTCCGCCAGCGTCTGCCCTTTGATCCGCACCACCTCCTCCAGCAGCCGCACCGCATCCTTGACCTGCCCATTCGCCTCATATGCTCCAGCCAACGCGTGCTGCGATGCCAGTCGAGATGGATGATCCTCCAACAGCGTCTGCCCCTGAATCCGCGCCACCTCTTCTAGCACCCGCACCGCCGCTTGCACTTTCCCATAGTTCACCAGGTTCCGCCCTATTAGGTCGTAGAGGGCGACCCACCCCATATTGACCGTGGACTTGTCGAGTCCGAGGTGAGTACACAGCCGCTCCAGCAGCCGGAAAACGGTGCCGTCGTCCCTCATCCCATGAAGCAGCCATCCACATTCCATCCAGACGCTAGCCACGGCGGTCCGAGGCGCGTTCTGAAATGCACAACCCATCTCCCATGAGGTCAGCGCGTGTAGGTGGGGCTGCAGATCTCGTCCGTGCACGCGCCACATCTCACTCTCGCTCTGCGACAACGCCACGATACATCCCATCGCGACCCAGGACGCGTGTTGCTGCCACTCATCTTGCCGGTCGCGCGCCCAGGCATGTACCAACGGATGCATCGACACACATGTGTGTTCCTCATCCACATCCATCGACACCAGGGCAAAAGCCTTGAGCATGTTGACGGCCTCCACCAGCCGGAAAGAATCCCACCCGTCTTCATGGGCTGGGATCAGCGAGGGCAGTTGAGACACGTGCCACGTCGTCAGACCAAGCCCATCTGGGTCGCCAGGCTCACGGGCCACGATCCTCTGCGCTCCCTTCCATGCTGAATCAAACACCAACGATGGCAGCCGACTCGGTCCGCACACCGCCAGCAGAGGCAGCAACTCGAGGGCATCTCGCGACAACTCGGTCGGACTCGTCTGGAGAATCTCCACCGACGCCTCGAACGTCGCGTACACATCTCGATACCGTGACTGAGCTTGCGAGGGCCGAAAGCCAAGAAGTCGCTTCCGTTGACGCTCGTAAACTCGCGGGTAGTCTCCCAAGCGACAGTGACCTCGCTTTACATATGCCCCCGCCTGGATCAGGGCGAGAGGATGCGACTGGAGCAAGACGGCCACCCTCCGTGCATCGTCTTCCCACCGAGGACGGTGCTCCCCAATCACGTTGGCGGCTTTCAGGAGGAGTTCTGTCGCCTCCTCGGTCGGGAGTCCTTCCAAAGCCACGTGATCGGTGGTGGCATACTGCCCACACTCGGCGTTCCGCGACGTCAGCACCACTACGCCGCACGTGCTGGGGGGGAAATAAGCCTGGTAGTCGACATTGGGGTCATCGGCGTTGTCCAGCACCAACATCCATGGCTGCCGGATATTGGCCAGGCCCTGCCGGCCATCCTCCCATGTCGACGCGGAGATTTGAAGTCGGGATGCGATGTCGAGAAAGCCGTTCTCGGCCTGTGACGGCGTGCTGACGTCGACCCAAAAGATACCCCAGAGCCTAATGGCAGTCAGCCTAGCCATCCGCATAATAATGTGAAAGAAAAGACGATACGTACAGGGACTGGACACGCTGCGCGAGCTGTAAGCAGATCTCGCTCTTGCCTTGGCCACCCAGACCCGAAATGGCTATGCGACATTGATAGGTACGCGAGCCGTGCTGCACCGCGGCACGCACATTCCTTTCTAGACTCTCCAAAATTTCCTCCCTTCCAGTAAACAAGGTGTTGGACGAGCGAGGCACCATCCAGTGTATATTGCCGCTCTCGACGCTCGTGCCTAGCTAGGTGAGCCACTGACGAACCGTAGATTTGGAATAAGCCAACGAACTCACTTTTCCGAGTTTTGTCGATCTTTTTGCGAAGCCGAACGAGCGCATTCGCTCCCTCTCCATAAATCAAAGGCATAAACACATCGAAGATCCCGAAGAGACAGTATGCCTGGTCTTCCGTCTTCTTGGTGACCCGTTCCGCAGCCCATCCCAACCGCTCATCCACGCTGAATTGCGTTAAAGGTGTAGCGCGGAGCGCCGCAATCGGAATACGGGTAATTTCGTGAACCTGCTGTTCCAGCGTGCTCTTGCTGCCGAGCAGTGCTCCCTCCTTTGAAAAGAACTCCACCGATGCGGGCGCCAGCAGTTCTTGAAGTGTCCAGCCCCGACAAAACCACCGACTCTTGCGAAAGTCAATTTCCCACATTCGCTTTGTTCCGTCCACGCTGTGGACCGGCACGTCGGACAGGTAGACGTAGCATTGGGTGGCATCGCGGTACCAGCGAAACATCGAGTTGATGGCCTCGGAGTATTCAGTATTGTTCGCCTTGTTGATGCAACATGTGTCCACCCAGAAGTAATCAAGACCATCCTTTCTCGCCTGTTCACCACAAAACCGAATCTTCGCATAGCCAGCCTTACTCTGAAAAGAGTCCTGCTTCAGGTCGTCGAAAGTAACCTCATCCTGGTCTTCTGCCCAGGTGTGTGAGAGAATCGCGTAGGGCGGGATGTGATCGTGAAGATCCTCGGTCAGGCTGAGGGTGCCTTGATCGTCGTATTTCAGCAGGCGCATCGCGTTCGGCTCGTTGTAAGCCCGCAGGAAGGAAATGCGCGCTCGGTGGACAAGGACATTCTAGTTACTGCTCCTGTCAGCGAGGTGTGCTTCAGCTCTCGGCCAGGAGAGACTGTAGGATGCTACTTGATCAAGCAGAGCGAGCGAGGAGAGGTCCTGGTGGGATGCCAACACGCGAAGCGATGTTCCAGTGAATCGGAGAGTCAGCGCGGTAATGAGGGCACAACGATGAGCGGGGGAATGTCTTTGAAAACACTATATCTGGACCACGGCGAGGATCGAGCCAGGCATGATACCCAGACATGGTGATGTATGTCCGATCAGGCTGAAATGTGTATGTATCGAGCCTCACAGCTGGCCAGCGCAAGGCAGCCGTGACGTTTCTGTGGAGGGCCGCAGGCGTTGGTAACTTAGATGAATAAGCGGCCACGTCCAGGTCCCATGTGACAAGCGAATCTAGCCCACTTGATTGGATGAAAATGCTACTCACCTCAGCCTGCGCTCTGTCCCAATACCGACGGACCTGATGGCGTCGACCCTTCAAGAAACTCGCAGTTTGCTGATTGATGTGAGAGCTCTTGCTCTCCTCTGTGACATATGGTATCACCCAGTAAAGAGACCATAAACGTGCAAAGGCACGGACGGCCCAATTGGCATAGTAAGAGCACTGATGACGTTAACGGCCGAGTCACTGATATTTTCCTAGACAAACGACACGCCTCGCAGAGGGACGATGGCGAACGTCCTCACAAGGTTGGCCGCTTATCTAACCTTCAACAAGCTTCTGTGGCTTCCCTGATGGAAGACCATACTCCTGACATCCCTCCCTCGAAGCTATACAGTCTCCTTCCATCTCTGTCTGCCACAAAAACCGATGACGTGAGTGGATGCACGGAGCGTCTCTACGGGAACAAAGATGCTGTCAAGGCGGGGCAATTACATCACAAATGGTCTCCAGCCAACTCTCCAATACCAGGACGAAAGACAGGTCGCCGGACAGGCACACCGAGCGCCCATTCGCAACGAGAGGCCGCTCGCCCTTAAATCCGTTGGACAGCGGTGCATTTGTTGCGAAGTGGCTATCAAGCGTGCTATCTAGCGAGGAATGCGATACCCAATACGACATGAGTCTGCCACCCTCGAAACGATCCCGGTCATCAGATACATTAAGTCGACGACTTTCGCATCCCTATGACGGCTCGGAATCCACAGTTTCAGCAGACAAGATATACTCGATCTCCCAATATGTGGACTACCTAGTGGCCTTGGAGACAAAAGGCAATTTTATGCGACCATCTGCCACTCGTGAAGGAAGACCATATGTTGGACGAGAAGTTTCTCTACCCGCATCAACCGCGTCCTGATCACCGGTTATTTGATGACCGGTTCGACAAATTCCACTCCGATTCGAGGCCGATGGGAAGCTCGAGTCTATCTCGACCTGCATCCTCTCCTCGTCCGGTCGGTTGAAAACCTGTACATCAGTGATCGAGAAGAATTTCACGGTCTGATCGAAGGCCACAGTGACGCTTGGGTCAAAGGGATTTCGTTCTATGAACCCCGACCGCAGCCGGACCGTATGTACGGATCCAAATGGTCCAACTTTAGCGGATTCTAGCGCCGGAAGCTGCATGCAGTCCTAGAATGCGGCTCAGGTGATCGCTTTGGAGGGACATGCCATTTTGGAAGACAATTCCACCCACCACCATCGAGATGGACGTCGAAAGACTCCGTATGAAAGCAAACAGTGCCATCGCCACAGCGACATCTGCAGCTCCGACAACCGACTGGTACGCTATTAGCGGAGCTTGAAAGGTAGTTCCCACTTCGAGAGCAGCCACAACCTCGATCAGCAGCGTGAACGCGAGAAACTTTGACGTGTCAAGGTTGATGAAATGACCGAACCCGAGCGAGGTCAACGCCATCCCGACCAGGATCAGTGGACGGATCCACCCGAAACGGTAAGTGACGGCACCCGCTGCAAGGCCAATTACAGCCTGAACCACGATAATGGGCATGATGAGAATGCCAGAACGGGTCGGAGAAACGCCACGCACGGCCTGGAAATAGACGGGGAGGAAATACCAGGATGACATGTTTACCTGTGACGGAATCAGTATGCTGCGCTGCTGTCGATTGGGAAAGTGTGAGCACGTACGAAACCGTGTACAAAGCAAACAATCAGAGGGAAGGACTTGGCCTTCAATAGGTTGAACGGCATCAGAAGAAAAATACCGCGAGCACACAGCCGCCGATCAGGAGGGCTAGGACTTTTGGCGAGTTCCACGGGGACACCACCCCTCCAAAATCGAGACCGAGCAGAACCGAGACCGTGATGCCGATGATTACCTCTCCCTTACGATGGCTCAAAAGACCTCTCACCGCTCCTCCACCTCTTGTCCTCCTGTCCTCCTGTCTGCGTCACTCTCACAGTCACAAGACTGCACCCGACCTCACGTCGTCAAGCTGCTTGGACTCCTGAAGGCGATCCTGTGTACTGTCTGATATGGAAGAGGAGGACGACCTCGTACAGTTGGCGGAGGATGACCTGTGGATGAATGCTATCAAATTTGATCCATTCGACCTTGTCGGACTCGCCCCAACAGCACACTTGACGTGGGAACTCTACGAGAAACGGCTAAAGGAACTGTCGCGGACACTCCACCTAGACAAGATAAGCCTGTTCTATTACAAGAATGATAGAGGTATTCTCGGCAGACCATCATGGCGGCGACAAACCACGTCAAGTTCCTCCGAGATTACATGCCCGATCTTTCCGAAGAAGCACGACAAGTTAGCTTCACGGTAATGAAGTACTTCTGGGGCCAGTACAGTGTACCAACGTGGAATGCGGCCGCACTTATTGCTCATGAAGCTGTCTCGATTACCCTCGAACTATTCGGCCCAGAAAGCATGTCGCCGGCTGTCTGCGAGGGTTGGACGATCGCTTGTTTGAGAAGTTTCTGGACGTGAACAGAGGCAGAGATGGAAGGCCGGCGGAAAGGGTGATTACATCGAGGGTTTCGGACTATATTATGGCGGTATCAAGCGCTTGTCAGTCTGCGTCCGTAGATAGATGTGAAGATATATATAGCACCATCAGAACCAGGAAGGCTGTCAAAGTTGAAGGCGCTGGAGATATTAATCGAGCCGGTGAAGTGACGGTTGAGGTGGTCAATAGTCTGGGAGCTCTAGCATGCATCAGGTCACGTTCAAGTCGATAGATATGCGGTGACTGAGAGACACGATGTCATCCCCAACCTGCGCGTGTGAGATGATGGCGTTCGTACGAGTGCAGCCCCTTGAGTACTTCAAACAGCCTCACGTGACATGACTCGTGCTTCGGCGAACCGTGCCCAGCTTAGGTTGAATTAAGCGTGCCAATGAGCTGTAAAAGTGCCTATAATGACTCACTGGAGGAAGAATTCCATGGAATTAAGTACCTCGTGTCACAGCCTACCAAGGAGATCATTGTGAGTCAATTGTCTATCAACTAGACGAGGGATATGCGAGGAGTTCTGCGAGAGGCCACGCAAGGAAGAGAAGCTCCTCAACAACGAGAAGAATTGTTTCGCTCTTCTTGCTATATAACAGGTAGAACAAGATCTCGGCCAGACTCGACAATTCATCCTATTTAGCCCCCATTTAGTGCCTAGTCCTGCAAGCCGTCTAACTATCCTCCGCACATACACGCCATCAACGATTTCTGCGTCCCAGATGACATGGGATTCTTGCTGCTCACCTATCTCTCCGCAAGAAATACACCGAGTGATCAAGGCTCCTGTTATATTCTACAAAAAATTATACATGTGACCAGATCTATCAAGTCCAACGGCCGTGAAATAAATTGATCAATCAAACTTGATTATTGGCTGGTCAGTCCACTTCTGTCTAAGCGCACCACGATGTCTCCAGATCAGACAGCGCAGAAATCGGTCGGCTTCCTGGACCTTCCGACCGAGGTCCGCCATAAGGTCTACAAGGATCTGTTCTGTCACCGAGCGTTGCCTATCCCTCTGGGCTCAGGGAGCCTTGCGCCCCTGCAGCTACAGCATAAGATTGACTTGGACGAGCCAGTATTCCACACGGCGCTTTTCAGAGTGAACAAGGACATCTCGACCGATGCAATCCGTTTCGCGTATAGTGTCAATAGCTTCCAGCTGCCCTCTGACCTGACTAGCTTCTGCCGTCTGGGTAGCACTGCACTGGCCTCGATCCGATCTCTCACAGTCTACAACAACTGTTGGCTCGCCGGCAGAGAATCCCAAGCAGTCTGGGACATTATCAACCACAGATGCTCGAGTCTAGAACTGCTTGTGGTTCAGCCCTCAACACATTTGCTGTGGCAAGCTATTCCCCAGCTGAAGAAATACGTCGCTGAGTTCGACTGGGCCAAGGCGTCGCGACCAAGGCTCGTCTTCCATTTGTACGTCTTTGACCGTCACTTTTCGTTCGACCTCCCCGAGCGCGAGTATCAGAGAGCCTTACAGGAGTTAAAGGGTGCCGAGGGCGACCATGATGGCTGGTATGGATTTCTGAAACCTGGAGAGATGGTTTCGCTTTTGCCGAGGCACGTGAAGCAGATCAATTGCGTGCTTGACGTCAGTGCAGGAGGCATTCATGCTCTAGACGAGGTCATTCGAGATTCTTCAGACCTTCCTCTGATCAAAATGACGCTGCCTGCATCCACAAAAACCTTTCGACACGGGTCTCGAGACCAGCTCTGTTACGTCTGGGGCGAACGAAATGAAGTCTAACTATACGGCCAGCAACTTCCGGAGCCATTGTTCTTGATCCAGAGGCATGCGAGCATGAGACTTCTTGGTCATTATCGGTGTTGAATGTGGCAATGTGCAGAGGTAAAGGACTCTTCAAAGCATCGTCCGGTTGGAAGTAGAATCTTCGGACAATAGGCTCAGGCGCTCTTTTACACTTGATCCTTAATGACATTTTAGACTACGAAAGTGGAAACGCAGCCGAACGCCTCCTAAGCAAGCCAGCCTAGGGGAACCGTGACGGCACCGAGCGCGGGCGACCTCACCAGTCATGTTTTGTTTTGTGCTAGGTTTTCTTTGTTGGAAATGAACACGCCGAACACATCAAAGCTGATGACGCTCACACCAAACAGATAGAATCGTACCGAAAGACGTGTGACGGCGTTTGAAGCGACAGAAGCAGGCGCCGAGATCAAGACCCAAACATACGTCCCGAGTCCCCAGCAACATAACCACATTACCATCCCGTTAGGAATTCGCTTCGAGGGGTCAAAATCCTTGACGAGTTCGACCTTTGAGTCAACCTTTTGAACTCCAGTAAGAGGTGATAATGTTGTTGATGCGAAGACTAGATGTTCAGCCATGTTTACCTCTCTTCACGAAGGAAAAGACATCTGTCTACTGCGTTGGACACACCACACAGAGTTTCACGTCATATCAACAGGCCACAGAGAACCCACGGCGCAGCAACCCATTAGAGCCTGATCCAGACCAGGCTTTCAGCCAGCGCACCCACCGCAGGACCACAGGGACAGTCCAGACCGAGTTATTGATCATTGATCACGGTCTGCTTTGACGTCGGTCGCGTTACTGCAGGTGGTCGGCATGACAGACTTTGATCTAAAACGAGTCAAAGGGGTTCTCGAAGCAGATACTTGAGGGAATCTATTTCGCATTACTATTGCAAAGTTTCGTGGAAAGTAGAGTTAGGCAGCCAAGGAAATTTATGCGCTGCTTGCAGAGGGTAGGCAGCTGAGATAATCAAACTGGAAAAATACCATCCCAGTCAAAACCTTCCATGCCATCTATCTGATTGAGGAAATCGTCCAGAGTTACCTCAGAAAATATTGGTGTCGGCATCGGCATCGGCATCGGCGAGGTTGTGTGACTTGGCTCCGAAAAATAGTCTGGAAGACTTCTAGCTGTGACCGGGGCATTTATATCGCTCAAGGGCAATCGGCTTGGGTTTTGCAACGTCACCTGTGCTGTTCTCTCTGTCGAAGAACTCGAGGAGTCTAATACTGGAGTATCTAGAGTTGACTTTCTCAGCAGGTCAATCAACTTGTCAATTCCAAACACAATGCCGCTACTGGATCTGTTCGACGACATTTCCTTGTCTCTCAAGGTCTTACTGATCTCGATCAGCTCTGCTTTTCGAGGTTGAGCGCGAAACATATCGGTCTCGAGCATACTGTCCATCGACAGAAGTAACAGTGCGCCAAAGGTGTGCTGACGGATACTGTACGAGTTTACGCAGTGACAAATTCCTGAGAGGTCGATACTGTTGCGAAGCTTCAAGATCTTCTCCGCGTACTGGAGGCATACTGTTCGAGATTCAGAAAACTCGGGCTCTCGCAGCTTCATCGAGAGGAATGGTCGATGCAGTCGGACGATTCGTGAATATATTCCGAACAACAAGAAATGTTTCTGCGGTACCAGGTATGGGCGATTGAGTGCTAGCGCATTGGCCTTATCCTTGTTTTCTTCGTCCATACGGAAGAACCACGGCAGATCTTCCTCGAAGCGTCTCAATCGATGGCTGAATTCATAGGTAAGATTGCAGGGCTGGGACTCCTCTGTTATTCCAGCATTTTGTATTGAATCTGCGAGTTGGCGGCAGAGCTCGGCAAACTTGGCTCGCTGAATCAAGAACGATGTTGAGGTTGGCTGATCTTCTGGAAGGTTCACTGGCGGGTGTGAATTTGATAAGACTCTATCGTCGAGATTGGCGGGGTATGTGACTCGGGCATGTGCTGGATTCACAGAGTACATGCCCTCTTGGTTACCAGGAATACTGGCGGTAATCCTAGCGTGGGTGAGAACATGATCAAAAAATGCAATGACCCGACAAAGCAGAGTGCTCACCAATCTGAAGCTGCTAGATGCCACCAAAGTCTCCGTTTTAATTCCGATTCAATAACATTCCCGTCTTTACCACCGGCACCAGCATCTAATCTGTGAATTCCCATGGATATTGCTTTCTGGTACGCAATACTCTTGAGAGCATAGAACTCTGCCGATTGACCCTCGGAGTTCCATTCAAGAAGAAGCATGATAGATACCGACTGAAGAGACAATAGAGAGGTAGAAACCATTACTCTTCTATCATATATTAGGTCGCTTGCGGTCATCTTCCATACAGCGGACCACTGCGAGCTGTCGGTGAGGCCCTTTGGTGCTAGGTGGCAGTGCGCATGACATATATGGAACGAGCTGGATGCGAAAATACAAAACAAGAAGGTAAGCACTTCTCTCGAGACTTCAAGAGATTTGGCCAGCAGCGAATAGCTTTCTTCTAGGAGTATGC